TGTCACATTCTGTATCTGTTGACATATTCACATCAATCATTGTAAAGCCGACAGCGTTACAGTCATCATTTATTTTTGTCTTATTTTTAAACAAATATTTTAGACAATGTAACATGCAAATGAGTCAATGTGACCCTCTCTAAAAGTCATTTCACCTTAAGTTACTACAACCTTCAGTGTATAGTCCGTTTCACTCATTTTTAAATTCACATTGGGTCTGATAAGTTCTTCTACATTAAACTTAAATGCTTTGGTGCTTTGAGAGGCTGTTGATCTTTTTTGACATGTACTTTTACCTAAACCAGTCTTCTGTTAACAAATCATCAGCATTTTAGCATGTGTGTTTCACATGCAGCGTTTCTTTGTGTCTCTCTCCATGGTGCTGAACCTTATTGTTGCTCTTGTCATGTGTTTGTAGGAGCAACTCATCTCCTGTCTGTTTACCTATTTACCACATACTTTTAACCTTTTAAATTGAGATTATAGATTCATTAACTTTCTTTTTAAATATCATTCTGGTTTTGTATAACAGTTATATATTGTTTTGAGATAAAAAGGAAGGAAATAAATCAAACCATTGGAATTACTGAAAGTTGTTTTGGTCAGTGAATATAGACATATCATGTTTACTGCATCTCATTTACTGCTCTTAATGTTCTTTTGCTATAGGTTTTGTTGTTGCCTTTTGCTTTAAATCCCCTTGTGACGTTGAAGTCAAAAACATTTATTTAGATCAGTGCAACACAAAAGGCATGTTGTCCCTCTTTTTTTGTTGTGTATGGACAAATCATATCTCTTTGAGTTTGAATAATATAAGTAGTCTCTGGGGAAAGATTTTTACACAAAATGAAATATTGGAATATATTGTGTTGTATATATATATATATATATATATATATATATAGAGAGAGAGAGAGAGAGAGAGAGAGTTATGTATGCCCACTTCTGTCTTCATCATGTAACACTAAAGGACATGATCTATTCACATCGCTTCTAAAAACTGTAATATTTAATTTTCACTCACGGTGTCACTATAGACCAGCTAAGGAGTCAAACAGTCAGCCTTCTCTGCACACTACCCATTAGTGGGATCTACCACCCTTGTGTTCTGTATAGCCTTGAACACTGATGCCAAATCCCTGGAAAGTACATGATTTAAGAATTTGACATTTGATGATCACCGTAGTCTTGAATAGTAGTTTTGTCACAACAGTTGCATACAAATTAAGAGTATGCTGGTTGAAATGGCTCTACCTCCCTTCATTATCTGTGGTGTTTGCTGACCTTGGGATAAGTCTTAGCAGTTCATTTTTTGTCTTAATTGGCTAATTTTAGAATAACAAAAGCATCTTTTTGCTGGCAAATATTTCTGCAGACTAGTGATTTGTGGTGTGGCTTTGTTATGTTGATACTTTCTTATGTTCTGCCAAGTGATGCCCTGTGTGTTTCTGTTTATACTGGTTTAAAGGAAATGTTTACTGCAGGACTACAGTTGTATACAGTAGTTGGCCTCTTCTTCATTACAATATGATAGGTCAGTCATGTTTTCTAGTTATTCTACCACTCAAAATGTAACTATACAACATTATGCTGCAGACATAGTTAACCATGAGCCTGGGCAGCATCTGGACTATAAGTGTAAGTAAAGATTTTGGCTTTATAATTTTCATGCTTTAAACATGTATGTGATGATGGTCTTAGCCTGCTTTAGATGCTTTGCATTCACCGATTGTATTATGTGGTGGTTGGGTGAACTTGAGAAAACTGCAGACTGCTTTTCAACATTTGATCACAATATAGTCAAGATACTTATTGTAATTTAGTTTATTCTCAGTTGGAAGATAACAGTGATATAAAATAACCTCTTGCCTTGTTGCTTAGTAAGGAACAAAATTACTATCTTTTAAATATGAAAAGCGTGGGTCACTAAATGGCACCAGTGCGGGCACACTCATGTCTTAATTTAGTTCAAAAAGGTTTTTGAAACTGTTGAGTCACCTTCCCTTACCTTATTTTGGAAGTTTTAATGAACTATTTACGCAGCAACATTCTACATTACTGTAATTTGTCATATGATAATTCAGAGCTAACAACCTATATGAAGTGCGACTATGGAATATGTTTTTTGTTTTGCTTTTAGTTTGTCAAGGCGGTCAACTTAACAATTACATTTTAACCTAGTACATACTGCACAAGGATTTTAGTTGTAATATTTAATTTTGATATGATGTGTTATAAAAACATTTT